GTGACAGAACAAAGACACCTAGTTTTATATGCTCGTTGGTGAGGAACCTAAACACAGTTTGGGCTTGGGTAGAAAGGAGTAACAGGGTTGTTTATGTGAGCTTCTCGGCCCTGGATTCCTTAACTCAGTGGTGAGGTGTCTCTCTCAGGACCCTCCCCCCTCCCACCCCCACGCCGCTGGAGCATGCAGGGCCCCTTTCACAGGGGAGATTTATATCCTGCATTCAAGGCAGGGAGGATCCACATGCCCTTCTTGCACTAGTTGCTTGTCAAGTAACTAATTCAAAGGAATCAATATGCCATTTGGGGATATTTGGAGCAGCCCGCCCTGAGCCCCAGCAGTGTGTTCAGCTCTTGGTGGACACAAAAGGAGTGAGACTGCTTTTCTCCTGTTATGAAACCTGCAGTCCGTGGGCAACAAGGAGATAAACACCTACCTGGGACCCAAGTGAGAAAGAAATCAGAATGAAACTGAAGTATAAACATTGGATTGCAGGGTCCAGAGAGAGGGATTCTGCTTAAAAGAGGAGCCGCACAAGGTGGGTAGCTTCAGATGCATTAAAGCCTGTTGCGGATGGATGCAAGATCTCATCTGGTGCAAAGCGGGAGAAGGGCCTTGCATGCTGAAGTCGGAGCATGCTCAGAGGCAGAGAGGGGCCAAAGTAAAAAGCACATAGCACTTGGGAGAATCCAAAGAAGTCAGAGTGTGCCTCTCTTCCTCTCTCCTCCCACCCTTTTTTCTTCTAACTTCCTTCCCCGCTCCTTCCCTCTCTCCCTTGTAATATTTCTCCATATTTTCTTTCATCCTTCCTGCAATAGTTATGTGCCAGGCACTGGGAATGTGTGCTGAACCATGACCACTGAGCCCTCCTGGAGGGAGCTGAGAGTCCACCCAGCAGGGGCAGATCTTTCATTAGCAACGTAGACTTGGGAGTTACACAGAGGATCCGGGAATGATTCACAGCTAGAAGTCCAGCTGGAAAGCTATTTCAGTAGATCCAGAGAGGATAGACTCCAAGCTTTTAATCAGGAAAATTGCCTTGGCACTTGCAAAGACAGAGCCTGTGCAATTAATTATTATCAGAGCTCGGTGGAATTATTACACAGTGCCGTGTATGGGTTTAGAGCACGACCCTAGGAACCAGACTACCAGGGTTTGTATCTCATTTCCCATTTCTCACTAGGTTAAAGATTAACCTTGGGAAAATTGTGTAACCTCTCTGCCTCAGGTTACTTATTTTCAAATGGGGATTATAAAGGTACCTCCCTAATAGAGTTGTCATGGGGGTTAAGTTAGCTCATACATGTAACCTCTTAGAAAAGTGTCTGGCATATATTAGCTCTACTTAAATATTAAATGACTTCCAGTCCACTAAATAAGGATGAACTTCCAAAAGAGGAGCCGATGGCCCCACTTTGCTAGAAACAACAGGTCCCATCATTTGTGTAAAATTGAACAGCTCTTCAGGAATATAAAAGTGTCAACACATATCCAAATGTGATGGAAGTAAAATAATAGCAATTATTTAGAGCCAATTTGGTTATTGTTCTTTTGTTTCCCTTTTCAAAATTAGGAAGAAATTTAAGTGGAAAAAGTATATGTGCATACACATATCTCAAGTTTTAGAGGAGGAAAGTGTGCTCAGCAGTTGGCAAATTTTGTTTAAGATTCAGAAACATCTTACAAACTGAAATCCAGGCCTTGGATACTGTCAGGGTAAAGAGAGGGGCTCGAGAGACTCATCTTCTGCTTTTATTATCCAAGCTAATGACCCATTAGCGCAGTTCCTTAGGCTGAGCCTGTAGATCAGTGATGGTGAACCTTTTGAGCTCGGCGTGTCAGCATTTTGAAAAACCCTAACTTAACTCTGGTGCTGTGTCACATATAGAAATTTTTTGATATTTGCAACCATAGTAAAACAAAGACTTATATTTTTGATATTTATTTTATATATTTAAAATGCCATTTAACAAAGAAAAATCAACCAAAAAAATGAGTTCGCGTGTCACCTCTGACATGCGCGTCCTAGGTTCGCCATCACTGCTGTAGATAATGTCCAGGGCCAAGATGTAGGTGGGTGTTTTCTAGTGGTGGGAAGCAGTATTATTTTTTCTGGGGAAAGAAAGTGAACAAATTCCACTTATTGCACATAATTTCAAAAATAAGAAAGATCCCTATTTGGTAGGCAAATTACCAACATACTTTCAGTGTTCAAAGGGAAATGCCTATGTTCACAATTGGTTTAATAATTTTGGTTTTAGTAATGGTTTGTTCGTATTAGCTATTCAGTGAAATGGTGTTAATTTTATCAGTTTATGAAGAACATTAATGCACTTCCACGCAGATTTGCATTGTTAGCAAAGAGATATAAAACGAAACATTTCAGTGAGCTCATTATAGATATGAGCAGTTTATCCTCCTTTAAAAATAAGCTTCAAAAATCTCAAATTCTTAGAGCCAAAAGGAGAAATTATGTTTATGACAATAGTAAACAATTAAGCCTCCCAATGTACTGTCACTGAGTTCTTTTTTTCTTTGCTTCCTGACATAAATTTGACTCCAAACTGCCAGGTAGTTGAATTTTTTTTTTTTTAAATATATTTTATTGATTTTTTACAGAGAGGAAGGGAGAGAGATAGAGAGTTAGAAACATCGATGAGAGAGAAACATCGATCAGCCGCCTCCTGCACATCTCCCACTGGGGAGGTGCCTGCAACCCAGGTACATGCCCTTGACCGGAATCGAACCTGGGACCTTTCAGTCCGCAGGCCGACGCTCTATCCACTGAGCCAAACCGGTTTTGGCGAGGTAGTTGAATTTTAAACCATTTTATATTTGGTATCACCAAACAAGTATGACGCATCAACATCTTTTTCCTAGTAAGTCTGCCCCTTTAATCATTCACCTTTTCTGTTAAGGAACAGCTAAGCCTCACATGTCAGAAGCCTGCCGCCTGAGGTTCCCCCCAACCCCCCAGAGTCTTGCTGACTCTGAAACTGAGCCATCACAATTTCCTGTGTCCTAGGAGACAGCTTAGCCTTATCAATCACACCATCCCCACCAAGTGTCTAGTAGGGCCTCCGCCACCATTTGTTACTGAATTGGCATGCAAGCAGTCTTGGGTCAATTAATTAGTAAGCCTAATTGAAGCTAAATATAATTAACCATACAATATTGAGCTGTCTAAATTTAACTCCACTAAAATTATGTAATGAATCTGGAACATAAAGGATTACTGGCAAACACCTTTGCCTCATGGATTTAAATGTATGCTTTGTTTTGATCTATCTGATGTGCTTAATAAATTGGTAGAGGGTGACCTAATACATACAGACAGGGTAGTGCCCATCTAGGATGGGAGCAAGTTAGAAGTAGTTTTCTATATTGCTTACCATGTGGATTGTACTCAATGCAAATTTTAGTGAGCATCAAAACTAAACAAAAGCAGCAGATATTGACATTTCACACTTGTTTGGTGAAACCAAATTTAAAATGGTTTAAAATTCAAATGCCCAGCAGTTTGAAATTAATGTGTTTAAAATTATGTCAGGAAGTGAGTGAAAAGCTGACTTCAAATACATGCTTGAAATACAACATTGGTTGATTGGTAACGATAAAATAATGTTGATCCAGGTTAATTATTATTCATCCAGAATTTGAAAAGCAAGAACCATTTTTCAATAAATGAATCTTTGTCTTAAGATGATTAGAAATCTCTTTCTTATAGAATTTCCACCAAACTTTGTCAATTGGTTCTGTTTTTTAAAGAACAAAAATAAATGACTTTAGGAAATGAAATATTTCTAATGCATTTTGATATTTAATCTTTTGTAAATGTAGAATTTAAGAGTATCCATGAATATGCATGGTGAAATGCATACTTAAATATTATATGTAAATTTTTTATGATGGGAGAGACAGCGAGACAGTGGGAGGGAGAGAGGGAAGTTGTGGGTAGTGATAGACTTGCCATTTGGGGATGCACATATTCAGACTTCAGGTAAGTAAAGAGGTTAAGAAAATACCAGATTCACCCAGTTGCTTAAACTCCTTTGGTTTTAAAGGTATTTAAACTGTTCAGAAATTCTTCTGACACGCCATACGTTGCAACGGCCATAGCTCTTTCGATTCTACAGGTTGTGTTTCACTGTTTACTGGCAAACCATGATAGCAACTTTCGTTTTGTTTCTGTCTCAATTATACAAAAGCGAGAACATGACTATTTAATTACCTCAAGTCGATAACACCCTTGAAAATTTTTGATCATTTGTACTGTAAATTCTCTCAAATTACCTTCCCCATTGAGTCGTGTAAGCGTTATACAGTTTGTGAGTTTCAAAGATGCTCCATTTGTGTACAAATTCTAAATCTTGACAAAAATGGCTTCATGGATTAACCTATAATTAAAAGTCAATAATATCTGAGTATATGAAATTTAAGAATAACAGATAATATAATATTTTATAGTTCCCCTTATAATTATTCTAGTATTTTACCTTAAACAGCTTTTTCAGCTTTTGCTGCTATATCACCTAATTATTTGTCTTTTACATTTCCTCACAAAACAAGAAATTCCTTTTTTTGCAGTAGCCAAATATGATAAGTGTAAAACAGACTTCCAAACCGAGGTGTCCTCCCCGTGTTCCTTCGGTGTTTTTTAATTCTCTGCATGCATGAAAGATGGTAATGTAATTCCCAGGTACTAAATATTCCTCAGCCATTTGCTCTCAGTGCTGTTATCTGGACTAAAACGAGATTAAACTTACAGAATGGCGAATTACTGGAAATAATGAAGTTAAGGCAGCTCATTAATATTTATCTCCTTCTCTATTTTGTACAGCCTGGATGAAATGGAAAAATTCATTTGGGGGCCGATCAGATTGAAAAGGGTCTAACATTATAAAGAGAAACACGGGGCTGAAACTGTTTTGGGTTTTTTTTTCTTCTTTTCAAATTATACACAGCACCTTTTTTCTTACATGCCTCTGTTTTTCTTTTAGTGGCAAAGCATTTCTATAACACTGGTTGAGAAAGTTCAGATGATTGCTGTAATCCTAGGATCCCTGTTCTTAATAGCGAGTGTCACCTGGCTTCTCTGGTCCGCCTTCAGCCCCTATGCAGTGTGGCAGAGGAAGGACATCCTTTTTCAGATCTGCTATGGAATGTATGGTTTTATGGATCTAGTGTGCATAGGTAAGACCAAGACGTTACACGTTCACAAACTGTCAGTAATCCATTTCTTGCAGCTGTTATATTTGCGCCAGTCGGATGTGATATAGAATGTTGTGGTTCGCAGGATCTTGGTTCTCCAGTGAACTAATGACTATCTGGGGCGTCACAACCTGGCCACCTTTCTGTAAAAGCATAGCATCGACATTCCTAAGTAGTTTAAAAAAGTGAACAGGAAAATGCCCATTTTAAGTAACATATTTTGCAACGTAAAGGAAGGAGGAGTCAAATTTTTTAGGGTGGGCGATAGAAGGACAGTCATTTATTTCTCGGGAGTAAGAGCAAATCAGTCGCCCTTCACAAAGCTGGGGTAGCACTGATGGATGCTAGAGGTGATGGTGTGCATTTGGGGAGAGGACCCACACCTGGAGGTCTCACATCATGGCATGGCGACTCAGATTCCCCCAGGGGCAGGGACTCAGGTTCCCCGAAGGCAGGGACTTAGGGGCAGTTTTCTTTGCTGTCCTGCGCCTCTTTGTTTCATTTATTAAACTTAGTGGCTTAAAAGAGAAAAAGGGTCGACATTTTAGCTTAAACAGATCCTACACTTGACTGATGTGTTGTTTCCCTGAGAAATGAGAGCAGACTCATACATACAGTGTTTATGTGGTATATGAGGGGCCCCAGGCACCTTGATGGCGACCAGTCGACAATGGGGGGCAGGAATGGGGAGGAGCAACACCGTACCAAGGAGACTTTCCCTGCTCTGATGTGGTTTACAGTTTAGTGGGACGTGGAAAGAGCTGAGGTGGGCAGCTATGGTTTTTAAAACAGTGGTTCTCAAAGTGTGGTGGGAGGAGCACCAGCAGTAGCAGCATCTGCATACTCTCAGGCCCCACCCTAGACCTGCCAAATCAGAAACTTCAGGCCCATCTGTGTCTTAGGAGCCTCCCACGCCTTCTCATACGCGCTGCTTTCAGGGAATGGATGCTCAGCTTGGATCAGATCACGAGGCCTCTAATCCTGGCCTCTGCTTGGACACATCAACTTTGTCCATATCCTTGTTTTCTCACCTACAAAAATGGGAGTAATCATCCCTAGTTCACAGGCCTAAATAAGGGAAATAATGACTAATAAATAATGTTATTAATTGCAAGTTGTAAATTAAGGGCATTTGAGTAAATCACAAACATTGAAATAATTTAAATAACTTAAACGAAGGCCTCTACTCACCAGAGCCTTAATTTAGCCGCAGTTTTATATTCTAAGTCATTTTTTTCTAAAAAAAACTATAAATTTTAAAATATGATCAGCCTGAATTCCCTCTCCTTATCTTATTTTTCTCCTTTGTCACTAGTACAAAGCTAATAAGAAAGAAAATGATCAAATTTCAGTCCAGAAAGGAAAAAAAGAAGGCAGGGAAATGTCATGAATAATACGTAAACTGAACAGATGTTGCCTGAGTAATTGAGCTAATCATGTATATGAACAGTTTGCATTAAGTGTGATAATGCCTATGCATGCTTTTGGAAATGCTAAATCTCTATACAAATGTAATCTCTAGGGTAGTGCTCTAAATACAGAGAATTACAAAATTATTCTACAATTCCCTCAACAAATTCAGAGATAGTGTTTCTTCTGTGTTTTCGCATAAATGTTGTAAAATGTGGTGTGCCATTAATATTCAAAGGAGAGGTAAAAAACAAAGGAACCACTAGGCTCCCAATCTAACCTGGAGGGAAAAAGAATTCCAGTTGATTTTCTTGATATTAACTAAAAAGGGCCATGTGCTTCCTGGCCAGGAAATTATTTTCCTAAATTCCACAGCTTGCATTTGGTATACTATTCCTCAAATTTTGATTGCTAATGCCAGACTTTTAATCAAGAATATTAGAATTCTGCTTTAAAAACCACATACATATGAACTAATTGATCTTTCAGTAATATATGACATATTTGGGATTCTGTTTTGAAATATGGGTGTTTCCCATTTTATAAAGTCAAATTTCTTAGGAACAAAAACCAATGGACAGTGTCCTGGAGACACTCTGGAGAGTGAATTTTTATATAAATTTTAAATATTGACAATACTGTTGTATTTTGTTTCAGCAAATATAAGTGCCATTAGTCATTTATTTGTGTATTTCAAAAAAATATTAAAGAACTCAGATTGAACAACATTCTTGATTTTACTTGGAAATATTATTTAGTCTGTTTGGGCCCAGAGAAAATCTTATTTTTTTCCCCCCAAGAAATTAGGAAACTACTATAGTAAAGAAAACAAATATAGGGTGGCTAACAATAGCCAAATAGATCATAGCTAACATTTCAAATTAATTCAGATGTCTGCTAATTAAGTGTAGAGAGTGACAAAGTAGATTATATTGATTATACTTCAAATACTCCTGACAGCAAGACTTCGAGTCAGAGTTGAGTGAAAAGCAGGTTTATAGCTCTGAGCCCAATTTGCTCAGCTCAGTTTAATAAGTATATATTGAGAGCTTTCTATGTGCCAGACATCATGCTAGAAGCTGAGAATAAAAATAAGAGTCAGTAACTTTCCTGCCAATAAGAAGCTTCTAGCCCACAGGCAGGACAGACAGATGTGAAAGTAGGTAACCAGAACGCAGTGAGTTGTGCACAGTAGGCAAGTATGCACAGGAGATGGTGGTTGGACAAAGCTGGGAGAGATTAACGCTGAAGTGTGTGTAGGGAGTGGATGGATTCAGGCAGATTTCATGGGGAAGTGAGAGCCAAGGAGGCTGATGGATAAGTAGATGCTTGGCAAATGGGGAGATGGCCCCTTGTCACTGTTGGAGGATGTAAGACTGCTTCGCCATTCAGAGGGCTTTAAAGTGGTTGAAAACATTCCTACATTCCTATTCATCCAAGCTTTTCAGATTTGTTTATACCTAAATGAGAAGAGCGGGTTGGCAACTTCATAAATGTTCTTTTTCAATAATAATTCTGAAAATCTACAGATAATTCCACAATAAAAAATTGTTATAATCCAGCCAGTGTATGTCATGTTTAGGAAGAGAGTCTTATTGGATTATTAAATAGAAATGTAAATATTTGTAGAAAATTTATTTACGTGGGAAATTTATTTACTTATTTCCAGACACAGTGAATTTATTGTTGCTTTCATTCATTATTAATAAGTTTCCTGCTTTCCTGAGACCCAGTTTCTATTTGCTGTTAAAGTTTAGAATTCTCCCAAGGGTCTGGGTACTATTAGAGTTGAAATACCTAAACCAGGATTGTCTGATGGATGGAACATTTTGCAGTGATGAAAACACTGTATATCTGTGCTGTCCAGTACCAAAGACACGGGCTACATTTGGTTATTAAGCACTTGAAATGTGGTTAGTGAGAATGAGAAATTGAATATTAAACTTAATGTTATTTAAATTTAATTTAAATAGCCAAATGTGGTAGTGGTTACCATATTGGACAGATGTCTAGGTAATGGAATGGTATATGCATAAAAATTTGATTAAGAAGCTGCACCATGTCCATGTAAATAGGTTGTGTTTCCTACAGTGAAAATGAGTTCAAGAGGATTAAGAGAAGGAAGGGGACTAACGGTGAGATGGTGGTGGTGAAGAGGTAGATGGAGAGCCATAAGAGGGAGACATGTCTTACGGAAATGGAGGTATAAAGAGAGAACACTTTATGTTATATTTAGGGAGCTCTTTTAAATATTTAAATAGATGGCATTCAGACTATCATTGTGCACCAGGAAAACTAATCTAAAGGATTGAAACCACCCAAATGTGGTAGCCCAGGGCTAGTAATTTAGGGAGAAGCAATAAGCAAAACAGACTCCCTCCTAAGAAGATTTGCACAGTGGACAAAGGAAGGTTAGCAAACTCAGAAACGAAGAGCAAATGCTTGGCAGATGGCACTGGGTACATACAGCATCTGGTTCTTTACTCCGCACTTCGCACATAGAGGAAATTGAAGGCTCTCACTTCCATTGGTCCTGTGATTCAAAGCAAGTTTGGGCCACAGAGGAATGTGCTTCTCAATGACTCAAAGATTGAGGGACTAAGTGATGGCCATGAGGACAGGGAGTCATTTGACTCACTTGCATCTGAAGAGGGAGGGCAGTAACCAAGTCACTTAGTGTCTGGTAGTGTAGAGGTCAGTTCGGTTTCTTGTAGAAGCAACGGACTAAAACTGTAACCCTATTATGTTAGTGGGATTCCTGAAATAGGTATAACAGTGCTTATACCTAATCATTAACACCACAATGTGGTGCCAAGTCCATGTCTGGAAAATCTTCCCTGAGATACTAAGGGAAGGAGCTAATTAATCATAATTACAAAATTTAAAAACTTGGATTACTTTTTTTCTTTTAAAATTTTTCTTAATTGTCCACGTAAATATATACAGATTCAAATTAAGAGACACCTTTGTATTTAAAATTCTGAAATATATAAAGTTTAAGACGGACCCTTTTACTCACACTGCTCTGTTACATCACTCGATTTGAAGAAACATCCCCACTCAAACATCTTGATGCATATCCTCCAGCTCTTTTTCATTAGGTTAACATGCATATTTTTCATATAAGCAGGATCAGAACTATTCATAAGGTTGAACAAATAGTCGTGTTCATTCAACAATATGATCTCGAGCTCTTTTTGCAATAGAACGGATGTATGGGATTTACTTGAACTTTCTTCTTCTGTTGACGGATATTTTTGCCTTTATGAACAATACTGCGAAGGACATCCTCTTATGTATTTCTGTAGGCCAGATTCCAAGGAGTGGAAAGTCTGGTTTGAGTAATATGCACATGTTAACATTTTGTACCCTAAAAAGGCTTTACCGGTTTATATCTCCCCACCCCCAATATACGGGAGTTCCGGTTTTCCCATACATTGACAAGCCTGCATGTCACTTTTTGACATTGCCATTGGTAGTTGCAACTATATTTAACACCATTAGAGTGATTTTCTTAATTCATTCTGTGACTATTTCAGTCTCTGGGGCAGTTTTATCTAAGAAAGTAACAG